AACATTTTTTTAATTTACATATATGGACAGATACGTTATGAAAATTTAGTACTTGTATTAATTATGTAATTAGTTTCTTGTTGTTTTATGATGTACCAATAAAATATTTTTATATTTTTTTTAAATTTTGCAAATGAAGTCAATGTTTTATTTATAGCCTTGACTATAGTATCGTTGCTGCAATTTCACACGTAAGCTTTTGCTTAGATGATTTCGAATTCTATCCCGGAGAAACATTTTGTCATACAACATATATTTCTAAAAATAAACGAGAACTTGTATTTTTAACTAGTTTTGATTCTTCAGACTTTAATATAGTTTTGTTGAGTTATTTTAAATAAGTGTAAATTAATTAAATAAATGTAAATAAACACCTTTTTTAAGTAGCTCATACTATATTATATTTATATACAACCATCTTCGTGTATTATTGAGAGTAACGACGATGTTGTACTTCCAGAAGAGCCCGTATTAAAAGTTGAATTTTTTATTGTCGATAACTTGAATCATAGACGGTGATTCGATTCCACGTTTTGTACACGTATTAACTTATTAAACCTCAAGCAAAATCTAACCCAGAAAGCTTCAAACTAACAAGTACCTCCATGCGTAGCTAAAAAAATGTGTATGTATTTTTTCTTTTAACATTTGCAACTGTTTATAAAAAGTTATTTAAACAAATTACTAAAATTTTCTTTATTTCAAAAAACTAATAGCGGCAATCGATTCTACGGATGACAGAAATCTCTGAAACAATTTCTTGTCAGAATTCAATTTGCTAATATAAAATTATTATAAACAATTTCAACTCAGTCAAGTGATGCGAAACCTGTTTTACCTTAATCTTAAGACCCCGGTCCCATAGCTACGTATGAATGCGGACGGATACGGACGCGAATCGCAACTCTAGTAACATCACTAAAAATATCTAGTTCGATTATTTAGTACCAACACTACCGGTAGTGAGCAAAAGTAACTGTTGTTTAAAACTGTAGCGCCGAACGTACTACATTTAATGTTCAAATGTCAGGTCTACAATTTACTTTTCAAATTCTCATGAATATTGCATATTGATGAGTATGCTAATGTAAAAAAAGCTTTTGGGATGATTAATACATATCATTTATATATTTTTTCTTCTTCTTCTCATATATTCAAGTACTTCCATAAAATTAAGGCCTAATTCCACTAATTGTAGTTGACAGTCTATCAATTCTCTATCATTTGCCATCTTATAGACTGCAATAATGTATAAGGTTAGATAGGCGTTACATTAAATGTGGTACGTTCGGCGCTACAGTTTTAAACAACAGTTACTTTTGCTCACTACCGGTAGTGTTGGTACTAAATAATCGAACTAGATATTTTTAGTGATGTTACTAGAGTTGCGATTTGCGTCCGTATCCGTCCGCATTCATACGTAGCTATGGGACCGGGGCCTAATCTAGCCGAGGTAGCTTCATACTAACTATTTCATTCATGGCGTAGCTAAAAAAGGTACCCGTATTTTTCTATTGATAATTGTATTTGTTTATAAAAAGTATTTTTTTCAAGCTTTATCAAAATGAAACTATTTTAAATTTACTATAGAATTATCTTAAAGTATTTGTAGTTTCTTATTGAGATTTTTTTGTATTTTAATTTCTTTCTCTGAATTGTATGGTTTCCCATTTAAAAAGCGATTGCTTTTTAATTTCTACAAATGGTAAAGGTTGATTAATAATCAGAAACTTAAAATCGAAAGTCAAAATTAAATTTTTTAATAAATGTAATGATAGGTGAGAGTTTATGAAGGGTTCAGTTATAATGATGAAACGTAATATATTTTTTATGCTATAACAAAAAAGAAAGCTACTTATCTAGGTTCACTTTATGATCGGTTTATGTGCTTCAAATATTACGTATTAATAAAGTTTGTAATATTTATATTTCATAGTTTATCTGTTTAATTGATGTTATAACTTTGTTAATTGTACTTCCACTGAACTATACAAATTTTGTGCAGAATATGTACGAAATTTAGGTAAGCATATATATATAAAAAATTTGCAGGAAATTTGTACTATTTTTTGGCTCAATAATCGTTTTTTCGTTAAAAACTAAATAAATGGATAAAATAACGTGGGTCAGCTTCCATACACGACGAACTACATAGAAAAAGTGAAAGAAATAACCGACCTGATTGAGACTTGAAACCAAGACTATATTATTTTATCATTATTATTATTATTATAATATAAAATATTTATATTATTATTATAATATAAAATATATTATATTATATTATCATTTCGCTGCCTACTGCTAATTTTAATCTATTCTGAAATTCCTTCAATCATTCAGTTATATTAAATAAACTATATGTTTGCAGATAATAACGATTAATTTACAATTAATTATATATTTACAGTACAGTGTATATACATGATCTTCATATGATCTTAAAGGTTGCGTTCAAGAACAAATCCAATGTCATCATGTGACACTTTCCTCTAAACCAGACAACTTTAGTAATGATTATGAGTGTGTGCATTTAAAGTGGGTAAAACTATATACTACTTTTCGTCAGCGGTGATATTCAATCACTTGTAACTTTTTAAAAAAGTATGCACGAAAAAATTTATAAGAAAGAAATTTTAGATTTTTCAAGGTCTTTCGATCTCTATCAGAACTTTTTTACCTATCACCAATATTTTCAAAAATACAAGTGATTGAAGAAATTAAAAAACTTTGGATAATTGATACTTTTTAAAGTGGTATAACAAAAGAAAAAAATGACTTCAAAATTTTTCGCGCTTCATAGAAAGTTAGTATTTCTCTTTTACTTATATTTGCTTTTTTATTTTTATTCTACGATCAATAGAATTAAAGATATTCTTATTTAAAGAATAGTTTTTCTTTCACAACATTTATAGAAATTTTTGTCCGGTACTGTATATGGATATATATTTATAGGGTATTTTGTTATTTTGGCTACGTGGTCAATCTGAATTACCCATTTTAATCTACTAATTAATTAGATATATATGAAAAATTATTTTCTTAATTTTCATGTTTCCTTTTTTTAATTTTGTTCTTTCATTATTTTCAAAATAATCCGTATCAATGATAAATTGAATTTTTAATATTAACATTTTATTTTCAAACCAATACATACGCATTACTTTACCATCACATAATATAGTATATCACGTAAAAAATCTTGTCCAATCAAATTATGACGCTTTAACATGGCATCTATCACTTTACTATAAGAAAAAAGGAAAGAGGATAAACTTTCTTTTGATTCTCTATTCTTTCAATAATTTCACTAGTTTTAATTATAGTGTTTAATTTTTTATTTTTTATATATTTTATATTTTTCTTTATAATATAGATTATATTGTTCATTTTTACAAGATTTTATATAGTATTTGTTCGATGTTACAAGATGACATGATTTCTAGTATTATCCATTTTTTCCTCTAATTACTATTAATTTTTTGCCTTATTAATAATTTTGTTGATTGTTGAATTAGTTGTTCTAGTAGACACGATATTTAATAATTTTTAAATATAAAAAAAATATAAATATTTTATATAAATATAATAAACATTTTATTTATTTCATACGATATTTTGAGCTGCACAGTAAAAATAACAGCATTCATATCTTTTAGTTTTTAATTTAAATCTTGATCAATTTTTATTCAGACTACTGATTATTTCAATAAAACTTTTATTTAAAAATTACTTAGTCGACTACTCAATAATATTGTTAAGTTGGCTAAATGGAGAATAACAGAAAAATAATCCTATTTATTGTCGTGTAAAAATGATAATAATGATATCGACGTAAAACATAATAAAGATATCGACTTGAAAATTTTTTCATATTAATCAACATGTTTTTAACTTAATTCTTGAAATAACAATAAAAATAATATTAGAATTTCAGACGACAATTGAAAAAATAAATTTTGAAAGCAAATTAAAGTTTTTACTGAGTAATATAAGATGAAAAAAATTTCAACTAAACTTCTTGATTATGACGACTTTTACAAGACAATGGATATAACTTTGAATTTTTCCCGCTTAACCTGATATGGCCTCTTAATTGCTTTGCTAGATAAAATATAATATCTTGAATCCAAGAATATCAAATATAAAAAAACAGTTAGTTATTGATATTTATGCTTCATGAATCAGGATAAAATTTTTGAACGTATAATTTCTTTATAAATCTGTTCATTTCCGCTGAAAATTTTGGTTAGAGACATACTTTTCAATAGAGGGTACAAATAATTTCTAGCATTATTACAATAACTTGTATATAACTATTTAAAAGTTTCTATTACAGAACACTATCAAAGAAAGAGAGTTTGGCATGCGCGAGCAAGAGGCAGGGGAGACAGGACGGCGGACGGCGCGGCGGGGCGGTAAGACTCAACGAAGAGATAAGAGTCAGTCTCAAGCGGCAAAGAGGAGCGAGAGAGGGGTAGCTAAAGCAGCGTCCAGTCTAACGTCATGCAGGATCCTCTCTCTCTCTTCACCTTGCCCCTCACTCTCTTTCTTCTTATTCTCAATATTCGAGAAGGAATCGGTTGATTTTCAACTGGCCAACAGCTCATTCATGCTCATACTATTCCCGAAGAAAGAAAAAAATGGAAAACGATAGAGTGGCGATTAAGAATAAGATAAGGGTGAGATGTACAAAAACGAACACAAAAATTGATAAACAAGCGTGCGAAAGAGTAGTGAAGATAGAGAAAGAATTAATAGAACTGAACATGAGAGTGAGCGAGAAAGATGAACTTGTGAAATTTGGTTGGCTGCAGCTCGTCTCGTTATTCGCTTCGAAGCTTGAAGCCTCTAGAGGTAGTGGGGTCGTCGTGGAGGGGGATGTATATCAAGTGAATAGTGCGCGCTGCTGCTAGAACGAGACGGAATGTTAAAGGGGAGGAGTGAAGGAAGTCGGATCAACCAAGGAGGGGAGCGTTCTACGAAAGAAAGAGAGAGAGAGCGAGTCAAAGAAGGGAGGGGGAGACGATCGAATCTCCTTGGCTAAGAGCGAACAGGCGAGCGAGAGAAAGAGAGAGAACGCGAGAGGATTCACATCCACACTTTCTTCTCCGTTCAGTTGTCCGACGAGCGCTGGCATTCCGACAGTCAGAACAGTTCCGACAGTCTTGCGATACGGAATGCTAGCACGCGCCTGCGTCCATCTATAATACAACGCCTACGTCCGCTCAAGCACGCGATTGCACGTACGCGGATTAGTGACGCGCCACTAATAAATCGTGGCTTTAAAGTGATATCCGCGAAAAGTGTTTCACGTCCGCGTGCCGCTATCAACAGTTGGCTGTAGCCGACGAATGCCGATCTGTGCGAATTGCAGCAGCTGAACCTGGCGCAGACGCAGCACCTCCGACAGATGCACGCTTCAGCGCCACCGCCTTCACAAGCCCAGCTCAACCAGCAGCAGCTACAATACCACGAATCTATTGCCCACCAGCCTGTCATTTGATGACACAAAACCGACATGAAGAATGACACAGAGGAGCAGGCTGAGATCCTCGATCTCGACTCACACAAAGTTCAAACGCATAGGTAATTACGCACTCTATTCCTACTCTTGTTGGAAATTTTTCAGCGTCAGTTATCCCTTCGTTTTATCATTATTATTATTACTCGATTTTATATATAATCATCAATCAAAAACAATTAAATAATTCGATAAAAAAATTAAATATAATTTAAGTTAGAGGCCAATAATAGAAACGTTGCCAGGACCAACGTCGTGTTAAATAGTTTTTTTAAAGTCAATTTTGTCGGCATTCCATAGCCAATCTATACCGTCAATGAAACGTTGCTTATGTCTGTACAGATATGAAGATGAGTACAGCATGCGAATGCATCAGCACGCGGAAATGCACCATCACATGCAGATACAGCAGCACCATCATCAGATGCAGCATCATCAGTCACATAGTCCAGTGCACTCGGTAAATGCGCTGGGTCGGTCGCACACGATACCTCAGTCTTACGACTATCATTCAAGCCTATCGCCGATGGGCCCGGTAGACAATGTGGCGAGCATGCAGGATCAACAAAGTCAGTTCATGCTAGGCCAGCTACCGCTCGCGGGGGTGGAGCCGCCTCGTCATCCAGGCTCGCCTATCATCAGTAGTAGCCAGCCGATGCCTAACCACCAGATGCATCAGTCTTCCGGCGGTCTTATGCCCAACCAAAATCCGAAGCCGCCGGCGATGGGTAACCAATCGTGGAAGAGCAATGAGGCACGCAGACCGAAGACTTATAACTGCACTGCGTGCAACAAGTGGTTTACTAGCTCAGGACATCTCAAGAGGCACTATAATACGACACTGCATAAAAACGCGGTCAAGCAGAGTAACCAGCCTGACCCGGCCAACATGCCCATCAGTGCCCATCACCATCCTGGTCGAGATACCACTGCAAGCGGCAGAACTGGGGGCAGTGGTGGATCGACAAATCGGACTTCGCCGGAGCTCTCTTCGTCGAGTAGTCCCCCAAACTTGATGGCAGGTCCCTCGGGCGAGGCAACGAGGGGCCTGCTTCACACGCCCACCACCACCACCTCCTCCAACGCCCACATTTACAACAACAACAACCACATCAGCAGTTCCAGCAACAGCAACGAGGCTATACCCCTGCAGGCCCTCCAGGAACAAAAGTTTCTCGAGCAACAAATACACCAGCAACAACAGCAGCTTCACTTGCAACATCAGCACCACCACCACCAACAACAGGCTCAGTCTTCGGGGATTGTCATGGCCTCGGAGCTGTATCGAAACACTACCGGTCAGACGGGCATGATGGTTCTACACTCGCATCACCAAGCACCTCCGTCGACCTCTCGACAGCACTCACACCACCAGTCAATGAGCTCACCGTCACCTCATCAACAACAACAGCAACAAATCCAACAGACAGCACAGGCACAACACCAGACTCAACAATCGCATCATCTGCAAATAGATTCACCACACCAAGCCATGAGTTCACCCATATCTCCCATGCAACAACACCCGGTCCACATGAGTTCGCCTTCGCCAGTGGCCACGGGGCCTCAACAGCAGCAAGTGCCGCCACCACCCCCGCATCACCACATGAATTCGCCTTCTCCTGCAATGGTGGGACACCAGGAAACTTCGCCGCCGCCACCGGTTTCTATGATGGGGGGTACTACGATGCCTCATCAGCCGTACCCAAACGCCTTGCCCCCCCACGTTACAACTATTACCAACATCTCGGGCCTGCTGAAGTCTATTACCAGCCCGCTAACAACTATTGGTAATGACGAGCTGCACCATCACCCTCATCATCATCAGCAGCAGCAGCAGCACGACCACGTGTTACCCGCTTTTGACACTTTCACCAGTCACCATCAACAGCAGCACCATTTACATCATGAAAATGATCACGAGCTCAAACAGCCGCTGCCAAATTTCACGCAATTCGGGTACATGATCGTGCAACATCCGGTAACCAACCGGCAAGCTAACGTGGGGGGGCTAAGTCCCAAGGAGGCTCGAGTGCCTTCTCACATCAAGTTCGAGGCCATCGACAGATATGATAGCTGTGAGAATTACGAAAATTACGAAAACTATCGGAACTCACCGTTACACTATGAATATCTACGAGGCAATGACAACGACGTCGACATGATGCAGGTGCCCGCGGATAGTTCGTCAGCTGTGTCGAGTGTATACGCTCACGCCCAGCAACACCAGCATCACGGACACGATCACGAGCAGCAGCGCGAGGCTAACAACAATCTACTGCATCCAACAATTAAGGAGAAGCTCAATTCTAACATCATATCTGATTCTAAAAGCTTTGGCAAAAAGAACGTCAGAGCTGGCAAGACCAACAAGGTCAAGATTGAGACGAAAGAGCACCAGGTGACGAGCACGAACACGAGCTCGAACTACATATCGGAAAACGGGCTGCACAAGTGCATCGAGTGCGATAAGGTGTTTAATAAGGCCTGCTATCTGACGCAGCATAACAAGAGCTTCCACTCGGGGGATAAGCCCTTCAAGTGCAATCAGTGCGGCAAACGTTTCCCCCTTGAATATCAGCATGCTGAACACCTACTAAAGCACGCCGGCGAAAAGCCCTACAAATGCGAGGTCTGCCCCAAGCAGTTTAACCACAAAACCGACCTCAGGCGGCATATGTGCCTCCATACCGGTGAAAAGCCGTACGCCTGTGATAATTGTGGCAAGGGCTTTATACGTAAGGACCACATGATGAAGCACGTCGAGACGCACAAGAAAAAGAACAACTTGCACAAAATCCACTTAAGGGCGTGAAATTGGCACCGTCATCGCTTTAGCATCCGACCTCTCAACTATTTTTATTTTGTAAGCGAGAGATTAATTAATTGACTATATTACTGTGCTCGTGCAAAAACAGAGGAAATGAGAATATATCATCTCCCGCGTGTGCATGTACTGTGTATATGAATGCAAAATTGCGCCATGATGGGGATAATGAATAATGCTTTGCGAGTATGTGAATGTGTGTACTAAAATTTACGAACTATTTCATTGTATATGCGTCGAAAGGGGATGTTGGATTCACGTTGGCTATTTCAAAGGTGTACGGCTTTGACTCCGACCGCTCCTTTATTTTGTTATTATAAATATATTTTATTTGTCAAATCATAATCCATTCATGATTCCTTTTTTTTTATTCCATATTTTTATTCTTATTTTATCATACTAAATTTTTTTATTTGCACTTCATCTGTTAATGTTAGATCTCTTGCAGAAACATCACATAAGAAAGTATTTTACACGTTATATTTTGAGAAACAATCAGCAAGAAATACATCTATACTTTCTTTCACATTCTTAACTTACGCAAGATTTTTGTAATATGCAATTTTTGTAATATTTGCATTTATTTTTATTTTCGATATCAATAAGTTTTTCCGTTTATTATAAACAACTTAAACGTATTGATATATCGCTATTTAATAATTTTTCTTTCTTTAAAGTCATACCCCCCCCCCCATCTCTTGCTCTCTTCATCCATTATTTGTGGTATTACTATTGAATTCATAATAATTAATTGAAAGAGGTTATTTTTTATTTGAAGTTTGTAGTAAATATCTAATACAGAAAGATTATTGAAAATATCCATGCTAGATAATCTTAATGTACTGAATATCTTGTCAGATCCAAATGCAATATCGTTCTTAAGCGACTGTTTATTGTTCCTTGAAATGTCTCGTTGAACTAATCTACTTCCGGCCATTATACATTAAGGCTTCTGAAGTTGGGCATTAATAATTTTAATAATGGAAACGTAAAGTGAACAAGTATGAAATTACAAGTGAATCCTAATGAAAACAAATTAATACGAAAGCTATATAAATAACAATGAAATAGTAACGAAATATTTAATTTTACGTTTTAAACAAGATCTACCTCAGAAACGAAGCAATATTTAAGCGATTTATCTATGACTGTGTGAACAAGTTACATAAAGTTAAATAAAGCAAAATCTTATGATGTTAGGTGTAGTTTTATGAATAAACTAAACTGTGCATCTTTTAGTTTAATAAATTATTATTTTTTAATTTTTTATAAACGAATGTTTTTTTCGTACGTTATATCATACATATCTATTCAATAATTAAGATAAGGTGTATAAAATTTTTCTGCTAACCATATTAATAATCTGAAATCAATAATTTTGTACATACCAATCTTATTTTATAAACATATCGTTTTTTTCAAAAACAATTTTTATTTTAGTTGTTTTCACGTTAAATATACAAGTTGAATTATAGAAATAAGCTGACCAAAAAAAAAAAGAAATAATAATGATAATAACCTGTCGAAAATACACATTCATATAATAATAGGTTATACATGAGAGGCGGGAAAAAACGGTATGACTATACATGCAAATAGTAAATATTGTAAATTCGTAAGAAATAGTTTATAACTTAGCAAGAATGTAACCTTGCTTAGTAATCCTTTTATAGTAAATTTAATTTCCAATTATTTCTTTTGAAGATAAAATTTCATAATTATCAGTATATGAGAGTCGTGAGAGGCAAAAAACCAGATCACCAATCAATACGGGTTTGTCGCTTTCAAATTAAGGTTCTTACGTAGTCACTGTTTTACGCTTTATGACTCAAATATTCAGAGAAATGTCTAGTTCAAAGAGGAAATATAGCACGCTCTATAATTTTTTCTATTAGTCGCTTTAATAGAAAAGTCCTTTTGTAGAACAGGTTGCTATTGTCACTCATATGCAAAAACATTTCTAAAACAATTGCAATACTACTAAAATTAAAAAAAACGCAAAGAACCTTATAATTACGAATTTTTTACATAAGCCAATTCATCAAAATTCCTGGTTGCTTCTTTGGTTTGCGAAATAATTGATCATACCGGCGATATATTTAAAAAAAGTAACCAAAAATTAAAAAATTATTAATATATTTGGTGAAATTTTTTTATATCTATATGCAATTTCAAATGAAGCAAGATTCTAAAAGTTCTCTGATTTCGAGCTCATATTGTCGTTGCGACGATGAAAATTTACGATAATAAGCGTACAGAAAAGTATAAAAGCAAATAATAGTAAGCGATGTTATAGCCTATTGTGATTTGGTCATATGATCAGCGATTGACAGGTGATATTGTGAAATATGTATTTGAGAATGCCATACACAAGTACCTCAAGATAAAAAAACACATGTACAAATGTTCATATGTTTTCAAAATATTAGTTATAATAAACGATTACTATCCATAACTTAATGCTTTATTATTGACCTTTTTAATAAATAACGCAATCATATCAATGACACATAAAAAACGAGATATAAGGATTTTGTAGTTACATTATCTCCTAATACAAAAAAAAAATTACTAAAAATTCAGCAAAATTATTATTTTTCATATTTTTTGAAAAATCATATCATTGTGATGCATTACAAAATATCACTTAACCATAACCATAAAGTCAAAGAGTTTGTTGTTTAAAATCCATGCAAATACTGTACAAATTTCTAGTACCATTTTCACTTAGATCATTGAATATTATTGTTACAAAAAGACGCGTGTCACAAATTCCTTGAGGAAGATCGATTATTGACTCACAGTAACTATGTCGATAAACAAAAAAGATGTGTAAGCTAGTTGGCAACTCATTCATTCGCTATAAATACTATCAGTTAAAAAAAATAGACGCTTCATTTTCGGAACGTACATATTTGCGAAAAAATCGCATTAAATGTTGAGTTTGAAACATTGCGTATTAATTGATTCGTTAGTGGTTCATCGAGATCTATTAGAAAAGTTTTGACGACAATCGGAACAAAACAAACTCATAGTTTTAGCCATTTCAGACAAAGGCAACTTCGCACAGTAATCATTTCGTCAAAAAGATTGAAACATTAGAAAATAAATTCAGCTTTTCATACAAAGTATTCGAGTATTCCTGAAGCAATTATAGTGATATTTAAAAAATCAATTAATTTACTTATGAAATGGTAACTTCTAAAATAAAATAATCTTGTCAATGGTTTATCAAATTACTTTCGTATTTGATGCAAAACATTGAAAAACTTTTGAGCTTTTTACATTTTCATAAATTGTTAAATAAATAATTTATTACCATTTATAGACGTATCAGTAATCAAAATATAGAATATTTTGTTAATGTATAGAATATTATAGAACGTTTTGTTTTGCAATAAGATTTAGTCGTATACACGCAATCAGTGATGATCACTTAGACCATAGTTATTTTTTCTTTACGAACGAATAAATTTACTGTTAGTACATAACAGAAAAAAGTTATTCGTTTCTCATATCACATATATTTAAGATACCAGAAAAAGAAAAAGCGATCAATGAAACTATATCCTTTGAAATTCCAGTAGTACTCAAATATATACAACTTATGCCAACAAATTGCACATAAGATGTTCGATCACTCATAAAAAGATAATGTTTTTATAATAACTGTGGATATTTTTACTTAAAACATTATCGGGCAAATAGTTCACAATTGGTAAAAATGATTTTATTGAAATTCGATTTTCAACATTGTTAGTTTTCAGTAGTAAAAATAATGACAATGTATTTCTTTTATAAAAAATTGTTTTGTCAGCAATTGTTACATCCTACTAAAAGAATTGTATAATTTTTCACGTAATAAATCATGTTATTTTTTATGACATAATATATTATGTCATAATAATATTATAATAATATAACTAAATTATTCAATGCAAAAATACAGAGATTATGAGATTTATCATAGATATCACATGATACACCACATAGCCTCAGTATTTTTAAAAGAAACAATAACGAAATAATTCAAAATAATAAAGAACAAAGCGTTTTCATATTGAACATATAGTACAAAATAAAGAATATCAGATTTGTTCTTTTCTAATTTGAAATACTGCAACATCGTCGATATTCGTTATCTCTATAAAAAAGTATTTTTTCTTACGTAAAATATCATTACGTTTGCAATTTATGTAACCTGTACTAACAAAAGTATTTACAATAATGACGCTTTTTTCATTATTATTTCTAGAGGCTGTGTGATTTATGATGCAATATAATACTCTATATATTCAGAAGCAATAATCAGCATTTTAATGTATAAATATCTTCTGTGCTATTTTTTGCAAAACTTTACGAAAATTTTTTACCTTGATGTATTTTTGATTAATTTATTTAATTAATTTAAGGTATTAAATATTAATTTATAAAATCTATGTCCTTTTCACAAAATTTAACTATTTTTAAATAGTTGGAAACAATTAGAGAAAATCATTAAATAAAATAAAAATAAAACTTTTTAAGTGTTCCAAATACAAGACTACTATTAGAAAAGCATTCATGTAACTTTTTATTTTGTAGAAAGTTTTTTGTATATATTTCATTTATTCTGACATAAACGTAGTTCTACATACTATTATTTGACTGTAAAAAACTACCTATTGAAAATTATTTACAAGTCACTATGTACAAATTAATTGAATAAAATAATTATGACATAATTTTCTATTTTTTAGGTTTGCCAAAAAGATGGTTTCAAAACATTTTGTGTTATCAAGTCGTAATTAAATTTTTGATTCCTATCATCCTTCATGTTTGCTTGTGATGTCACAGAAAACTTCTCTATATGACAACTTATAAAGAAAAAGATACATAAATTTTTAATTTATTAAGAAAACGTAAGGAATGTGTACCACCTAGACTATTAATGAATTTGCAAAGGAAATAGATAAAAAAACATTTAAAAAGGGGCATTCCATTTATCAGTCACCCAGCTAGAGAAATCTAGCTATATGATTAATTAAAAAAAACTGTTTTTGAAAAAGGTAATATGGACCTCTAAGAAAATCGAGCTTCCTCAAATTCGTAAAATTGATAAAATCATTATAGTTATTATCTAAAAAGTTAAAGAGCACTAAAATGTTACGTATCACTGAAATATTCTTAAATATGCGGATTGATATTTTCATATAGACAAATAATCATAATTTTTGTATTTAATTAACTATGAAATTATATCAAACAAAAATTATACAAAACAAAACATATAAATTCATTCATAAGATTAAATTAACAAATCACGACATTTCAGACATTTCGATTGATATAAAACCTACATTAATTACACAGGCCGACAGAATTTGACAAAAATATTTTACCAAGAACCCGAGTATAGTTTTCCGAAGGTTTTTTGCGCGCTGAATCCGAATCCGAGGTCAGAATTACTCTGGTGGCTCCGGTTTTCGAGATATCCTAACCTTAAAGTGCAAAAAAACGCGATTTTTGCCTATATTTGAGGTTATGTAGCAAAGAAAAGAAATTTTTTTTCAAAAAACTGTATACATCAAATTAAAGTATGAGTTTTCTTCTTTCAAATGCCGTTGAGTATGCTCGAATATCTTTTTTTTTCACGAAGTTACACAAATTTGAAAATTTCAAATTTTATGAATTTAAAAAGCACCACATCATTCAGCCCAAGCTATCTAACAAGTAACCATATTAAAGAGCCACTCACCAATTTAAACCAAACTTGGAAATATGACAAAACACTAAAAAATATTGTGAGCATCGTGCTTCTATTTACAAAATGCTCTCTTACGGGTAGAAACCACCCCTGCCAACCCCTAAACAGGCTCACCCACATATCCCTGGGTAGAGCAAGTTTAATTAACTGCTTTTTGATAAAAAAACTCATTTTCTAATCACAGGTATGCGTACTAATATGATCTAGATAGGCCTCATCCCCAAATACCTCCTCAACCCTTTAAAACCAGCCCTCCCAACCCCTAAGCAGGCACACCCACATGACGCTGGGTAGAGCAAGTTAGCCAAGTGCTTTTTATTTCAAATTTGTGTAACTTCGTGAAAAAAAAAGATATCCGAGCATACTCAACGGCATTTGAAAGAAGAAAACTCATACTTTAATTTGATGTATACAGTTTTTTGAAAAAAAATTTCTTTTCTTTGCTACATAACCTCAAATATAGGCAAAAATCGCGTTTTTTGCACTTTAAGGTTAGGATATCTCGAAAACCGGAGCCACCCGAGTAATTCTGACCTCGGATTCGGATTCAGCGCGCAAAAAACCTTCGGAAAACTATACTCGGGTTCTTGGTAAAATTTTTTGTCGGCCTGTGTTATTTATTCAAAAGACATTTTGTAACAAAAGTCATTAAATCATCAAATATTGCATAAGATTAAATATTACAAAAATATGATATAATTAAATGTAATAAGATTTTTCGGTGGTCCATATCTATCAAAGGCCCTTTTATATTTAAAAAGTTATAGAAAATTTCCATATCGATGAAAAATAACTTTTACTATGATATTGCATTTGTCAGTAATTATGTAAATTATGCAAAAAATACCGAAATAAATAGTTTGGAAATATGTTATACATTGAATAATAATTTAACAAAATTCATGATAAATATGCGAACATTTCCAAGAGCTTTTAAAAAATGCCAAAACCACGGATGATGCGGCTATAAAATTTATGGAAAATAGTGTAAAGTAACTAACAAACACAGTAAAATAATTCCGAAACCAAAAGTACTCGTCTTCATAGAAAAATAAAAGGTGATCTATATTGTCTCACAATCTACCCTGCTAATATTGTACTAATGCTAGGGCCATTGTAAATATTTATAGTCAGTCAGGCCTTATTAGTACATTTTATCAACGGTAAGTGTACTGAAACTATTGGATAGTTTTCCAATTAGTCAAGGAGTCTGACATGGTCTAGTGGTATTTTCAATTCGGATTAATCAACCAAGATTTTCCTTAAGTATTTTGATCCATTGAATTAAAATTTCTTCAGTGAGTTGAGATTTGACCCGCGAGGGATATTAGGTTATTACGTGTTTTGTTATTTGAAGTATTTTTGAAGCTCTATCAGACTTAAAGTATCTGGATCAGCAAGTTGAAATTATTTTTACTGACAATACACGTTAAGATAATGTGGTAGGACCACTTATATTGTTAAAAATATTCTTGATATATTCCTAGCTTAAAGTTATAACTCGAAAAATCGTACTTTTCAAAATTTTGATAATTTTTTTCTTAGAAATTATGGATTAGAGAAAAAGCTACTTATGTTCAAAATCCGCTAAAGAAACTAAAGAATTGAAAAAGCTGATATTTATTATTATTAAATAATAAAAAATGTTAATAACAATCG